CGATGACACAATGTTTATTCAGCTGGTTTCATCTGGTTATCAGTTGGAAATTCCTCAGGGATGTGGTGGTGAGCGTCAGATCACATGTTCTCCAGGCGAATTCAGATAAGATGACCTTCAAGGCCAGCCAAGGGAGCCAAATTCAGAAAAACACACAGTTGTTTTGGGGACAGGCAGAACTTAGTGATATCTACTTTGAGTCTGTGTTGGTCCAAACGGTTCCGAAATGTCCAAATTACATGGCCACACCGATGGAACGTGACTGAGTAAAATCTCGGAGATCTGAGCTATTCTGCCCAAAGCATTTGAGTCTGGGTACTCGAGGCACGAACCAAGCCATCATAAAGGCAAGCAGCGTGATCGGGTCCAAATTTGCTGCCAACGACTTCCTTGATTGTTGATAAAACCAGCAACCAGCCGAATCCAAAAAGCAGGAACCAGTTATCGTAAATCCAATTAAATATGTGTCCTTAAAATCCACAAATGGTAGCAATCTCTTTACAATCTACATAAGTAATGTAGGTCAGATCATTCCTGATGCATCCTTACTTTTATATGCCGACGACACAGTAGTTTATTGTCGAGCTAAAACAGTTGCTAAGGTTTTCAAGCTTTTACAGTCTGCATTTATCATTCAGTCAGACTTGCACCGTCTCAAACTGTTGTCAATGTTTGCACTATAGGCAGCATTCCAGTTTTCTGATAATTACTGTATTTTTCAGACTATAAAGAGCACCGGATTATAAGGTTCAATATCAATGAACGGGGCTGTTTTCATACATAAGTCGCACTGGATTATAAGGCACATTAAGCAAAACAAAACAGATTAGTCACACTTTATTCAACTCATTCACAATAACCACATAAAATCAGTTCGAGGTCAGTAAGTACAACCAGAATTAATAAGGTGCACCGGATTATAAGGCTCACTGTTGATTTATGAGAAAATTAAAAGATTTTAAGTGCGCCTTATAGTCTGAAAAATACAGTATTACATTTAGAGAACCGAACAGAACTTTCTGCAATCCATTTGCACAGCTCAGTCATTTCTGACAGAACTGCAGTGAGGTAAACGAGACACATCCATATCTGTGGCAGGCTCATCTCCTTGTAATGCCTCTGCAATATTTAGAAGTTTGACTCCAATTACTGATAAAAGATTGTGCTTTTTCACCTCAGCAGATGATGGAAGGCTTAATTATCTTTAACTCCGACCACACCTTGGTGCTCTGAGAGATGCTTCTGCATGGCATGAATATCAAAATTAATTTAGCTGCAGCTTTAACTTGACTGTCCGTGATGTCCTTGGCCACCCTGCTAAATCCACCCATAAAATCTGAAATAATCACACTCCGAACGAGCATAAAAATAGGTCAGCAGGGTTTTACCAACTAAGTTTTGTCCACAGGCCAAGGGAATTGGCTCTAATTTGCACTACTGCGACTATACTCTTCTAGCAGGACAAATCACTCCTAGAGGGCTAATGGCTCCTGCAGGAGGCCGAGGTGAAGACGACTGAAAAAAAATCACACTCCTAATGTCTTCTTCATCCTGGGTAATGACTGGGCAGTGTTCCTCCAACACAATTACTGTGAGAACCTTTTATTTCTGCATTAACACAAGGTGAAGTCGAACTGATGACGCAACTTGTCAGCAAATCCTTAAGCCTTTGATTTATGTGGGAGTGATGGGAAAATCAAATCTGACGAAAGCAAGGCAAGGTCAGGGCAGCAAGGAGTTGCACTTTAGTTACATTTTTCATCTTTCACGGAGAAGTTCACTGAGGAGAATCCATTTTCTCGGCAAACAACGGTTTTATTCCACAAGTAAAAGAAAAGGTCTTCACACCCTTTCACACCAGGCTACATTCAGATTTCTGCTTCAGGAGAAACGAGTTCACAGCTAGAACCAGACAGCCTCTTTTTTCCCTCCTTTAAATCTGAGCTGAATCCTGTAGTCAGCTTGTTTCATGGTGTTTTTCTTCAACTAAAAACTTCACTTGGCCGCTTTTCGAGCTTGTTTCAGCTTCTTAGAACAGACTGGCTTAGATATTTTTTAAAGGTTCATTCGAAACTTGAAGATAATTTACCCACCAAACTGTCAATGTAAACCAGTTTCATGTCTTACTGAACATTAAAGATTCTATTCTGCTATTTTTTGTTCATGAATTTAAAAAGATTTGGTTTTTAAAAAGGTTTAAGAAACCAAAACATATTGTGAATTTCCTAGCAGTTGAGTCTTGGACACAAAAAGAAACTGAGCTTTGTAATGCAACATAAAGCTCAGTAGCAGCTGGGGATGTAATTGTGTGTTTGACATGTTAGCAAAATGTGTCATGAAACAGTGGATTAAGTACCGTACTTGACGCTGTACACGTGCTAAATTGCATCAGTCCAAATATGTTTAATAAAGTGGAAAAAAACATAAACACGTCACTTCGCCGTATAAGTCGCATCTATTACGCGTCACCGCCGAACACCCGGAAACGTGGGCCGTTGTGCCAAAAATCGAGTGGTTGCTAAATGGCGGCCGCAGGCGAGTGCACGGGAGGACTTTAACAAGAATTTAACAAGATTAACACATAAAAACAATTATTTGTTGGCTCCAAATTATATATTGTTGTTATTGTTGATTGTTGACATGGCGTCATACATTATGATCGCATTATATTAATAAATATATATTGTTGTTATTATTGTTAATTAAGGAAGACTTTAACAAGAATGAACAAGGTTAACAATTAAAAACAATGATGTGTTTGCTCGACATTATAGTAAAGGTGTGTGTTAGTTGAACGTTTCCTTAATAAATGCACTTTAATGGTCAAATCAGCTGCATTTCGCCGACGTTTGCTCCAGGAGTTCCGGAGCGAGACGAAGATGGCCTATATGGCAAGCCAAGTGTCTCATTAATAGCCACTTTTACTTATTAATGAGACACTTGGCTTGCCATATTACTCAAGGGCCCTCTAGTGGCTGAAAATGGTAGTGTTCAATATTTTCCATGTCAAAATAAAGGTCTCAGACAAATATTGGGTTATAAGTATGGGAGGGGGGGCGTATATTAGTCGCTTCGGTGTATAAGTCGCAGGGCTTGCAAATTTATGCCAAAGGTGTGACTTATACGGCAAAAAAAAAAAAAAAAAACGGTAAACCTTGTGTACATCTATAACTGACAAACTTTTGGAGCCAACCTACTTCAAAACAGCCTCCACGGCTAATTAACCTTCGTCGATAGCTACAACTCTATCAGTTTTACAGATATTATGCTAACATTTGATGTGGTTCTGATTAACAACTGTTTCCATTAAAAGGAAGAAGAACTGCTTCTCATTTTCTGGAAGTCCCTTTAGTTCACCGTTCGCTTCATGGACAGGTTGTCCTTCCTGCTGCTTCCTCTTTTCAAAGTTAAATGCCAACGTTACAGAGAATGTCACGCTGCTTTATAATGCACACAGAAAGGTTCCAACCCATTGTTCTCCATGGTGCGTCGTCTAATCGGTCATTTCCTCTGACAATAACAGGAAAGGAAAAGAATATAAGATCTCTTTATCCTGCTGTGACCCAGCAAGCCAAGCAGGCACACTGGAACTAAAACTAAAATCTGTTCATTTCCTCCCTCTGTGCATTTGTCAAACCAAGAGTTAAAAAGCCCACACCCAACACGAGACGGGAGCACCTTTTCATTAGCAATGTTTTCCTCAAACTGGCAGCAGCTGCAAAGAAAGCTTATAATGTAGGCTCTTGCGTGGAACTATCATTACTCCCTGCTCTTGGCGCTCAAGCTGCCAGCTTCTGACTGCTCTAATATATACCACGGCGTGTGAGTTCCATCCCCCGCCTCCCCCTCACAGCAAACAAGCTGAGGTCAGAAGTGAATCACTGCCCCCTGAACAAATGGCTGATATCAGATCTGGTTAATATGCTGACTGTGGAAGTTTGAGAACGTTCCTCCTGGCTGGTCCTCTTAAAAGATGCATTCGGAGAACATTAACGCTATAGGCCTGTGGAATACTAAATGGGTGGGAAAAGGCTTAGCTTGTATTGTTTATCTGTTTGACTCATGCAGTCCTGAGCTCATTTTCATTAAGTCAGTGTGCAGCCAGCAGGTTGTGCATCAGTAAAGCCCGACAGCCTACAAGCAGTAAACTCAAGAACAAATTGCAGATCTTTTTTTTTTCTCTTCCTTCTGGAGAATAATTACCTGAGTCACTGCCAATGAGTAACAAATCAGCACACTTCCTGCACAGTGGGCTCCCACCTGATAAAATGCACGAAAGGATTGCAGCGCTGAGGCAAAAATGTCTCATTTCGAACAGCAACTACATCCAAAGCAAAGTCTGGGCAATGTAGCATGAATCAGTGGGGGGGATGAGTTTGATCTGGAAGTGAAATAAACAGTTTGTAAAAGGAGTTTGATTTGCAGCTGTGTGCAGATGTGTCCTACTATAGATTGTCAAGTTGTGTTTTTGTTTGAATACAAATCGAGTTCATGAAAGTACTGCTGCTGGTTTCAGCTCCTGGATGAATGTGATGGAGATGAGTCACGTGGTGTGAAGCTCTAAACCCTGACCACTTTAGAATCAACAGAAGCACACACCATTAACCCTTTCATTACAGTTCGCCTGCACGCTCACACCTGTGCAGCTGCAACCCAAACTTAAAGAGGATTTTCCACGCGCTCCAGGAGGCGCGCGGACCCACCAGCAGCCACGCGCGGACGGGACAACACATCACGGAGGAGCTTACATAAGAGATGGACTTGAAGGGTTGTGGGCACTGCACGCGCGCACTACACGGTTTGCGCCTATGTCAGTACCGAACCCACGAGCGAAACCGCCACAGAACCGACTGTGGTTTTATGGCACCGAGCAGGGACGGGCTGGGACCAGATCCGCGTTCGGAAACCCACGTCCACCGAGCTGATCTTGAAGTGTGACTCGAAAGAAGAGGATTTTAGAGCATCTCAGAGGAGAAAGAGCAGATATATCCGAGACTTACCTCTCTCCAGGGTGAGCGGCTGGACCACTGTCGCCATGACTGCTGTTTACTGGAGACTGAGAGGAGAGGAGCTGCAGCATCACAGAGAGAGGAGGAGAGGAGGAGAGGGAGGCTGGGAGTGGTCCCACCTCCTCCATCCTCCTCATCACCTGCCACTCTCATCATTCACTTGAAAAGTCATGAGAAATTGTATTATTATTTACTTATTTGTTTACAAAATGAGTTTCTAATTGTGCTATTTTTCATTCAGCCTTTATTTATTTAGACAGATAAATCCCACTGAGCCTCGAGGACGCATTTACAAGAGAGACCTGATTTAAAGCAACCGAAGGAAACTGTTGAAATGTAACCAATGAAGTGGAACTCACTTTGTTTAGATGCTTGTAACGAATGTTTTCGAGTTAAGACGACCTAAATGTGACAAAACCACTCAAACGAGGTAAATTTCACCTAAATAAACGTGCAAAAATATACATGAGCATTTAAATTCTTACAAATAAGTCTAAGATTTAGTCAGTTTTCAACATTTTATGCATCACTTTTGATCAATTCAGTACCATAGTTTTATTTTATATACTATAAGGCACATTTAAAATCCTTTACAGTATTTTTCGCCCTATAAGTTACTTTTTTTTTTTTTTTTGAATATTTACATGCCCTGCGACTTATAGGCCAAAACGACATATTTATGGATTTTTTTCCCCATATTTATAAACCATTTTTTGGCTGAGATATGAAGGTTTTCATTCTTTCTGACTGAAAAATTTTGAACACTACCATTTTTCAACCACTAGATGGCACCAGAGATAGTAAGGCATGCCGTTGTATCATGTAATAGGTAAAAGTGGCTATAATGACAAATTTTTAAAAAGTTCAAGCCAAAAACAACTGGACTTCATTTATTATACTTTATTATTTTTGTCTTGAACTTTTTTGAATTGACCATGTCCTGGATAACTGAGAATCGTCACCAGCTTTTAATGATACAATCAGTTTACCATAGCCTTCCACCTTCATCCAGCTTGCCCGGAGCAACCGTCAAATCAGCTTCATTTTGCTGCACCTCCCTGGCGAAATGCAGCTAATTTGATTAAAGTGCATTTATTAAGTAGAAGTTTAACTGAGACACACCTTTGCTATAACGTTGGGCAAACAAATAACTGGTTTTGGGTGGTTATCTTGTTAAATTTTTAAAAAATGCAGCAGCTGGTCCGGCTGAGTGTGCTCACTTCACAGCACCTCAGCAGCGAAACTATTTTTGAAATTCAGCTGATTTGACCATTGAAGTGCATTTTTTAAGGAATAGTTCAACTGAGACACGCCTTTCCTATAATTTCGAGCAAACAAATAATTGCTTTTAAGTGTTAATCTTGTTAAATTCTTGTTAAAGTCCTCCCGTGCACGCTCCAGCGGCCGCCATTCGGCAGCCAATCAATTTTTGGCACAACACGGGCTCACATTTCCAGGTGACAGCGGCGACGCATAATTGATGCGATCAATCACAAAGCGACATATTTATGGATTTTTCCACTTTATTAGACATTTTTGAACTGATGCGACTTATACGGCGGAAAATATGGTACTTTTTTCAAAAATCAACAGTGAGCCTTAAAATCCAGTGTGCCTTATATGAATTCTAGTTGTACTTACTGACCTCAAACCGATTTTATGTGGTTACTGCGAATGAGTAAAGTTTGACTTACCTGACTGCTTTGTTTCACGTAATGCACCTTATAATCTGGTGCACCTTATGTATGAAAACAGACTTTTTAATTGATATTGCGCCTTATAGTCCGAAAAATACGGTACATTTGAGCTTGTTTATATTTAAAGTAATACTCCAGCTGACTTTGAAGCGATCTAATAGTTGCTACCGTTTCATTCCTGACAAACAGATAAGGCGCAATGTAAATAAAAAGAGGTAAAAGTCTCTGTCCAGGCCAGATTGTGAACGGACGCTATTCGTTGTTAATGAAACCTCTGCATGTTTGCATGACACGCTTGTTCAGTTTGCCTGTCTTCCCAACAGAACGTCTTTTACTGTGTATGTGCTCCGAACAGGTGAAATGCTTTAGGAATTCATTATTTGTCACTGTATTTGGTGTAAACTTGTCTATTTTTATTCCACTTGTAACTGCTGTTTCATAAATTTTCACTTTTTTGCCGTCACCATCTGTCTGTGCCTTTAATATTTTGAAGGAATTAGACCAAAACTTTTCATCGCACCAACTGAACATGTTTTTCAGTAACTATCAAAATATCATTTTATTGTATATTTCTGCAGCCACAAATTCAAATCTTTGAGAAGATAGTATACCGTATTTTCCGCTGCACAGATCGCACCGCCCTATAAGTTGCATCAGTCCAAATATGTCTAATAACGTGGAAAAATTCATGTCGCTTGCCATATATGTTGTGTTTATTATGCGTCACCGCTGACCACCTGGAAATGTGGGCTGGTGTTGTGCCAAAAATTGACTGGCTGCCAAATGGTAACCGCGTGGGCGTGCATGAGAGGACTTTAACAACAATTTAACCAGATTAACACTTAAAAACGATTATTTGTTTGTTGGAAATTATAACAAAGGTGTGTCTCAGTCTAACTTTTCCTTAATAAATGCACTTTGACGGTCAAATCAGCTGCATTTCAAAAGCTGATACGCGGAAACAGGCGTGCGCAGATGGTGACTCTGCGCATTTCTTCGAAATTTAACAAGCACCTAAAACAATTATTTGTTTGCTTGACATTATAGCAAAGGTGTGTCTCAGTTGAACTTTTACTTAATAAATGCACTTTAATGGTCAAATCAGCTGCATTTTGCCGGGGCGGCGCAGCGAAATGAAGCTGATTTGACGGTTGCTCCAGGCAGATGACGGTGGAAGTCTATGGCAAGCTGACGGTGTCGTTAGTAGCCACTTTTACTTATTATATGATTCAACGGCATGCCATATTACTTGAGTGCCATCTAGCGGTTGAAAATGGTAGTGTGCAATATTTTCAGTCAGAATGAATGAAAACAGTCATATCTCAGCCAAAAACTGGTTTATAAATATGGGAAAATCCACACGTCGCTTCGACGTATAAGTCGCAGGGCATGTAAATTATGCAAAAAACTGTGACTTATAGGGCAAAAACTACAGTAATCTGCAATAATAAAAATAACTCTTTCTGAGAGGCTCTCTGTGTATTTGTGTTTTTCTTGTGTCCTGTCTTCCTCAGTGTTTTCCCCTCCAGCTCCTGATGCGCCTGTCCCTCATTGTCCTTCCCCAGATGTTACTAATTATTCCCTCGTTAGCGTCTCTTTATAATCCGTGTCTCCTCGTTGTTCCCTTGTTGGTGAATTGTCTTCACTAGGCGTCGTGTTCTGTTTCCTCCGTGTCTCCATATTTTCCTGCACGTAAGTTTTCCTGCCACGTCAGCCCCTTTTGTTTATTCAAATAAATAATCTTTATTTGTCCTTCGCGTTCCTCGAGTCCTGTTCAACCACACCACCGGATCATGATACTTTATTCATGTGGTCTTTATTTAATCTTTAGGACTGTGCATGCTTTAGCTCAGAGTGATGAAGGCTGACATTCATGATTGTTAGACCCCCATTGTTTCACAAGGAGCGGCACGGTGGCGCAGTTGGTAGAGCTGTTGCCTCTCAGCAAGAAGGTCACCGGATAGAATAACCTGCCGGGGGCCTTACGAGGTGGAGTTTGCATGTTCTCTTCGTGCATGCGTGGGTTTTCACCCACAGACCAAAAACATGCACGTTATGCTGATTGGTAACTCTAAATTGTCAGTGAATGGTTGTCTCATTACTGTCCCTGTGAAGGACTTGAAACCTGTCCAGGGTGTCCCCCACCTCTCGCACAGTGATAGCTGAATATGGACACCAGTGAACCCTGTACCTGAAAAGAAAAAAGTGGGTAAAGATGATGGATATTTTTCACCAGGTCACAGCCAGAGCTCCACTCAATATTTTCCATTCCAAATAAGAAGACATTGAACCTCTCTTTGTGCACATGAGCATTAGGCAGATGTTATTGGTGATCACTGTTCATGCGTCAGCTTTACTTGGGATACCAGACATCGTTGTGCATGTGTAAATGCTTGTATCCATTTAGCTATCACACTTCAGCAATCAACTGATTACAACCGTGCTTCTCATTAAAGTAAGCTGTGAAGTGCTGATCCATGCAGCCTCTTCGTGCTTCTCTTACCTGCGCTGCTTCGTAAGAACTGAAAGATGGCTGTGCGCTGAAGTTGAAGAGCTTAAGGATTAATCTTCATGTTTATGTGCAGCCACGGAATGGAGCCAAACCAATAGCGCTCCTCAGTTACTGTAGATTAGCAGCCTAATGGTGCTTGTGGTACGCTATCATTACAGTGGTTAGGCGTCAAATAAAAAAAACAAAAAGCAAGTAGGGGATCAGCAGTTAAGAGTCGCTAAAGAAGCATGAGTCACATGCAGAAACGATGACCTCACCGTGATAAACCCGAGCTGAACATGAGAACACACTTGGGGCCAGAACCAAAATGTGCACAGCTGTTCAGAATTGAATTCACAGCCAGTAAAATGATGTTTCACTCAGGTCTCTTGCAGAAGTTGCTTTGGCTTGTTGTAGCCCTAATTTATGTAAAGTGGAAGTAAATCGTAAAAATAAATAAGTTATATATACAGCTGTGGTCAGGGTCTGTTCTGTTTTTGGTTAAGGCCCTTAAATAACACGGTCAATATGTGTGGGTGAGTTGCAACCATCCCACCCAGCTGTTTGCAGATGGAAACTAGCAGGGAGTGTTTGGCTGGAGGGTTTGGGACGGGGGTGGGGGTGAGGGCTTAGAGAGCATGCAGAAAGAGGGCACAGGGAGATTACAGGCTTCCATCCATGTGGGCCATTCTTCTTCTTCTTTTTTTTTTTTTTTAAAGAGGAGGGATTATATTGCACTGCCTAATGCCTTCCAACTGTAAGTGAATTGATTCCTCAAAGAGCAAGAGGTGATGAAGATGGGCCAAATGATGAGTTATCTTAGATGTTTCCTAAAGCTTTAGAGCTCTGAGTGGGGAAAATTTCCCATGAGCACTCATTTTCATTCAAATAGAATTTGACAGTTTGACGGGAACATGCAATAAGTGGTCGTAAAACTGAGAATTGTTTCAAAATTCAAAATGGCAATCATCTTCAAGCTAATTTGATTACAAAACCATATTTAGGCGCTCAGCAGGGGCGAGACAGTGCTTAGAGAGTCATCGTTTGCAGATAAACTCGGGGAGAATTGCCCCTAACTGCTTCGGAAAAGGCGGCCGGCTAATTTCTGCCTCGTCACATTTACACTCATAACACAAGATCAGAGCTGAGTGCGAGATGGAGCAGCCGTAATAAGCCATTTGGAGCCCAGTTTGGCTCTGATTAGGCCGGCCAAGCTGTAGTGTTCTCTGCACACCTGCTGCCAGAATATATAAGCAGGGTACATCAAGCATGGGTTGTGCTTTTACAAAAACAAAGATGCAAAGTTTGATGGAAGTCCTGATTTAGCTGAACATTAAAAATTAGAATTCTGTCCGGATTTTAATAAATATAGATTGTGGCTTTTGTGAAATTTGACATAAATTAATAGCGTGTCTAGCAGAAAATTCTCCAGACACCCACAGAATGAGACTAAAACTGGATTTAGGGATTTCAAACAAAAAGGAAACTAGAAAAATTACATGTCCTGCAAAAATGCAGTGTGATTGCTTATTGCTGAAGAACTTGCTGAAAAACAGATGAAATTAGCCAAAAATCGTGCTGAAATGTAGCTGAAATAGCAAGTCTTAATAAGCAGAAGAAAGCAGAAAGGACACAAATTTGCTGAAATAGGTATAAGTTAGTAGAAATGAGCACAAAATTTCAGAAATTAGCTAGAAAAGCTGAAATTAGCAAAGGGGAAAAAAAAGGCTGAAAAGTAGCTGAAAAGGAAGAAAGAAGCTTAAACTGTCAGAAGGAAGCAGAAAGAGCGGACATAAGCTAAATAAAATGTGGAATTAGCTGAAAACCCTAAAATTAGAAGAAAATCAGCTAAATATGAGCTGAAATAGCAGAAATAAGCTGAAAGGAGCTGAAATTAATGATTTTTTCCCCTAGTATTTTACAATTACAATTTCAAGCTGAAATTACCATAAAGAAGTGTAGCACAGAAAAGTGTCAGGTGGAAAAGAGGGGACATCAGTCTGTCTTGGCTGTACAGCAAACAAAGTTGATTTATTGTTTTTCAGGCATCACACAAACATCTGCTACCAAAATGGCAACCCTTCCATCAGACTTCCTCCTCATGGAGCAGTCCACCCGTATATACTGTATATACCCAGTCAGACACTTCAATTCAAATTGGCCAGTCACCTCAGCCTTCCAGAGCAGGAAAACATACAAGTTTATTCTCACATAAATAATCCAAACATTAACAATTATTGACTGGTAATGAAATGTTGAGCAAATGTTATGTATACAGATGCACAATTTACAAGTCAGTTTATTATTTTAATTACTTTGACTTTCTTCTAATTCTCAACCAATCATACTCTTGTTCTCATCAGCTCACTTCATATAAAAGAGCTGGATTTGAGGCGGGCCTCCTCTTTAACAGGAACACAAGATGGCCGCCACAGATGACACACCCACATGGTAACACAAACAAACATTTCAGTGCTTTGGCACACAACTGAATGTTCACGATCCCACACTTTGGAAGCAAAATAGACAAGTTAAAGGAGAACTTAGTGCTTCTCAACAACAAGTTAAGGCTGGAAGTAGCAAAAGTGGCAACAATTACCATGAACATTTTCAATGCATCTGAAAACGGCTGAGATTATTAATGCTAAAAAGGTAGCTGAAAAAGTAGAACAAGCTTAAATTAGCAGAAAAAAGTAGACACTTGTTTGTCCAATTAGGCTGAAAGAAGCACAAACTGAGCACAAAATAGTGGAAATGATCTGAAAAAAGCTGACATTTGCATAACACAACTAAATAGTAGCTGAAATAGCAGAAAAAGCTTAAACTTGCAGAAATAAGTTGAAAGAAGCATAACAAGCTGAAATTAGCAGAAAGAAGTTAGAAGTGCAAAAATGTTGTAATCAGAAAGAACCTGAAAGGAATACAAAAAAAAAAAAAAAAACCAGCTGAAATTAGCTGAAAAAAATCTTTAAATTTGCTCAAAGCTGAAAGAAGCTGAACCAGAACAAAATGTGAAAGGAGCAGTAAAAGATTGTAAACACATCTAAAGATTTGAAGAATGTAAAATGAGCTCATTTTCTATGAGGGAAAAAAAAGGCAGAAAAGGCTAAATATTTCAAAAAGCTAAAGTTGCACCAATAGTCATAGCAGGACGATAGAGCTGAACGTTTTGATTCATTTGTTGAAACAGCTTGAAAACTGCAGGACGAGAAATGCACCGAAAAACACACAGAAGGAAAATGGATCACATACAAAGTGAATACTTCATAAACGTTCGCACAACAAATGTCCATGCTGCTGCCGAAGGTGTTGGCTTCACTCGTGGCATTTGTATCACTGATATTTCACAGGTTTTTCTCTTCCCAACTGCACAAATGTAAATTTGGCATCAAGTGTAATGAAGCCAGCAGTTGCAAGGCAACCGCGTCCCCGGAGAGAGCGAGATGCTTCCAAGAGACTCCGATGGAAACATTGCTTCTCATGTATAAATAGAAACAGATGATGAGAAACATCAGATGGTCGAGTTTCTGGACCAGGGGGTCACGTCCATGAGGCGGGGGGGTCAGCTGGATTATGGGTGTTTACCAGCAGCTTGGATGATGAAAGGAAATGCATCCAACACGAGGCCAGCGGAGCTGCTGCTTGTGTGGCTGTAATCAGCTGACAGATGCTTTAGGACATTTTGATATCTTACTGCTGAAAGACAAAGAAGGACAATCATTTATTTTGTATTTTGGCAACATTTGGAAAGTACGGTAATCATTAAATATACATCTACATCTGGAGTCAAGCCGATTTCAATATGGCCACCACAGACTAGACATTAAGAAACAAAATGGCCGTAATTCGGCTAATTATTCAAATACTGAGCTAAAATTTGTTGTGGCATTAGCTAAGTCCATCACAAAACTTCCAGTAATACTCGTTATTTGTTTAAAACCTTGGTATTGTCTAATCCTTTTTCATCTGTTGGCAAAATATCTAATGAACCACTAGATTTGAGTTCAATGAAATTTTCAGAAAGTTGTCAATGAACGTACAACTGATTCACTTTTGGAATCGGTCCCGTTCAAGAAGGCCGACACAGCTAATCAACATTAACCAACACAAAAACTGCTTTAACTCAGTCAATTTGAGAGAGGTGGAACTAGAATTGGATGTGGTAGTAGCTGATAGTTGTTACTCTGAAGGTGGTATTCAGCACAATTTGCTTGAGGTGGAATATAAGATTATTTCAAGGCCTTTAAATGTATTTTATTTACCCACAATGTATCATTTTTTATAATTCAGATTTAAACCAGATTTTCAAACGGCTAATAAGAATTTTAAACTGTATCCAAACACATCAGTGAGCTCTTTGTAGTGAAAGTACAGGCTGTCCGGGTTTTTAGGCCTGTTGCGTAATTCTCCTCCTTCCTGGAAGCGCAAAGCTCCTCCTGCAGGAACTGCATCCAGTTCATAGTTCAGAGCTCTGCAAGGGGATTCTGGAAGAAGTGTTCCTGTATGAACCCCACGCGAGTTGCTCAAGTGTTGGATTGCGCGTGAAACTTCCAGTTTCGGGTGAAATAAAAACGATGCACTCCCATATAAAGTTCACGGTGCGCCTGAAGCACTGGCCGCTGCGGAGGGAGCTGTGGAGTCACTGGGCTGCAAAGCAACAAGCAGCTGGACACAGTGCGTCCGCAAACCCGAGGACGGGGAGCGGGGCGCACAGCTGCAGGTTTTACGCGTCAGATTGCGCGTACAGCCGAGCTTTCTCCGCCGCCAGGGACAAACCGGACACGTTCTGGGCCGAGATGGGACGGGACATAAGCTGGTTCGAACCGTGGAGGAAAACTCTGCACGTTGAGGACCCTGTGTTCCCGAACTGGTAGGTTTCCAGTCTCCTACCTACCTCCTAAAAACTGTCAAATCACCACATTTCTCCACTCAAACCACATGAGATGGCCTGCCTGTATGGAGAGCCAAAAGTGACGCATTTTAAATTAATTACGTCATCACATAATATTAAAAAAAAAAACACAAATTCATAAATGTCGAAAATGACTAGACTTTATCTATAGCATTTATTTAATTTTCAATTTCTCATTTGTTTCATAATTTTACACGATTCTGTCAATTTCCTATCACATCATGACCCATGGATCTAACCAAGACCCCTTAGTGAATTCAATTCCCTTAGACAGTTTTCTCAACGAAAGAGCTTTATAACTTGCGACTTAGTCTGAGTTACTTACACCAGTGGTTTTCCGTAACAGTCATCCAGACTCCTCTGTGGGTCATAAAACGCAAAGTGAAGGTCTTCAGATGCTTTCCAGGAATTAAATACAATTTGAAAACCATTGCTAACATTTTTTTTAAAAGCAGAAACACGCATCCAAAATAGTATTATGTACATGCATACATACGTACTATGTACATACATATGCATGCATGCATACATGAGATTTCAAACCAACAAACTTTCCAATTAGTCTTTTTAAGGGGCAGTGCTAGACCAGGGCTGGTACTAGAGCCGGTTCATAACTGGTTATATTGGGGAGCTAAAGGAACCAGAAATAATTATTTTTTTTCAGAGGCTAGCAGAGCATCAGCCATTCTGTCACATTAAACATCTCCAAGTATATTTTTTAGTCCTTCTTCTAATGTAATCAGAGTTTTTGTCCCTTCAGAGACACTATCCCCATCAGGTGAGGGTTTGTATTGTTGCGCCTTGAACAGTCTCTAATTGACAAACACTGTTTTAAACAATAATTTTTCACCCCATTTTATGGCACCCTGATTTATTGTTTTGTACACTACTCTTATTTTAACTGCATTTTTACTGTATTTGATTGTTCTTTATTGTTATTGTTGTCTGTACTTAATATGTTCGGTCTGGAACAGGTCCCTCTTGTAAATGAGTCCTCGTGGCTCATTGAGTCTAGCCTGTATAAAGGTTGAATGGAAAAAAAAAAAAATCCCTGTTTGTGGTCACAACCATAATTTCTGACCTTTAATCAATATTTACAAATGACACAGCAGACTGGAGTGTTTCAAGCAGGCGGATGCTAACAGGTCATATTAAAAGATCTGACAATGTTTATTTGAAATTATTAATACTCTTCACAAATCCAATTAAACACAATGTTGTTGGAATTACGCCTAATTGCGCAATTGCAGAATTGCGCCACTTGTGGTGGCTGCATGTCGGAGTAGCTGTTACTTTCATTCAGAGATATTGCTTTAGAAAATTTTAATCCCGCTGTTTTTGGATGCAAATGGCTTTTTTGGATAATTACTTCCTCTGGTATTTGCCACTGTGAAGCTGGAAGGATTTTGAATGAAAACCTTTTACTTTTGGACATTTGTTATGAAGCGTAACCATGACAACAAGGTGGTTTTTACAACCAGGAGCAGCTGATTAACATCTTAAAGTTCAAATAATACCTCACATACAGCCTCAAATCCCAAATGAGTTGAAAAGGAGGTGCTGTGGATGCATCTCCGTCTACCTGGTGGAAGTGCTCGAGTGACTGACTGCTGAGATCCTTGGAGCTGGCAGGAAACGTGGCTCATGATAACAAGAAGACCAGGATCATCCCCCCCCCCCCCCCCGACACCTGCAGCTGGATGTCTGCGATGATGAGGAGCTCAACAAGTTGCTGAGAGGAGTGACCATCGCTCAGGGAGGAGTTCTGCCCAACATCTACATTATCTACAGCTGTAGAAGGAAAGAAAAGGAAAAACGGCATCAACTGCATTTGTGACATTTTTAATTTACGTTGGGCCTGCATCTTAAGTATGACTTTACTTTAAATGTGTTTTTTTTAACAGGTTTGTTGGAGGAAAGTTGAACATGTGCTTCAACGCGGTGGACCGTCATGTCGAAAGCGGTCGAGGAGAGCAGCCTGCCATCATTTATGACAGCCCGGTGACCGGAACTAAAATGATCATCACTTTCAGGGAACTTCAGGACCAGGTAAACGCCATCAATGGAAAATACAGAACAGCAAGGCCCATTGCTTGTGAGCAAACCTTACGTGGTGTTGTAGAACTTTTATTTGTCAGTTTTTATAGGACAGGGGAGACGGCTTTCTGTGTTCATCACCTCTTCTGCGTCCCACTCCAGGTGTCCAGGTTAGCAGGAGTCCTTGTGAAGAACGGGGTGAGGAAAGGAGACGTGGTGGTCATCTACATGCCCATGGTGCCCCAGGCCATGTTCACCATGCTGGCCTGTGCACGGATCGGTGCGCCTCACAGCCTCATCTTTGGTGGCTTTGCCTCCAAAGAACTTTCGGTCCGCATCGATCATGCCAAGGTAAGGAGGTGGTATCTTTCCCTCTCCTTGGGGTTGATGGTGATCTCCGCCAGAGTGAATGCTGTCTTTTCTTTCTTCACCACACAGTTAAGTGTTCAATTTCATGTTTTTGTGAAGCAGGATAATCCAGTTCCTCTTTTATTATTAATGTGTGTAATTTTTTTTTTAAATATTGAAAGGCTAAGTTGCTTGAGTTACCCCAGGATTTATGATTAACTATAGAAAGCCCTGTATTTACTCTGTACACACACCGTGATCTGATCAGTACTGTGAATGATTGACACTCTGACTAATCGTTTTTCTATGGTTCTGTTAGTGTCCGTATAAAGAAATGAAATAAACCACAATATGAAGTATATAAGCGACTATTTGAAACTTTAACTGTACTGTAAAGGCATTTTTGGGAGGACAACTTGTCAGATTTTAGTAAAACATTCAAATTAATTGAGGTTATAGTTATAAGAACCTTTAAGAACAGAATGAATACCAGTAGTTAGGCCTGTTGCGATAAACAATAAATCAGTTAATCGCATGATAAATTAAAATTATAGACCTCGTTTTCATTTATCGGCTTTGTTTCTTCATGTCTCTCTCTTTCTACTGAAGACACTGAATGACAAAAAGCTTTCTAGTATCAGTCAGCCCTCTGTGAATAGCAAGTGGCCATCATGGCACTAACGATCGGTCGTTAGGCTGATGGTCCTCCTTTACCATGTGAACAGATCATTCTAGATAACAACAAACTGTGAGAAGGTGCTATTTATAAGACTGAGTTTAGTGCAGCTCCTCAAACTGACTGTCTTTTGGATCAAAGATGAAACGTTTCAACAATTTTTCATTCTTTTTGAATCCGTCCAGGTGATCCGACTTAACTTTGTGAGATTTTTCTACCTGGATGATTGAGCATTCATCAGGGTACAAAAAAAAAAAGAAACATTTTTATAAGTAAAATGTTTCCTTGTCTAAATATGTAATCATAGAAACTTTTGATGAAATAGTAAAAAAATAAGACTTTTATTCTTTACAACTTATCAATTCTCTTAGTTTGAAGGGTTACAGGAAATGTTTGGATGCACTTGGAAAAAAAATGTTACTTTTCAATTTGTTTTTCATCAGACAATCTCAGCTGAATCATGTTTTCTAGCCTAAGCTGCTGGTTACAGCCTCATTCGGCATCGAGCCAGGCAGGAGAGTGGAGTACATCCCGCTGGTGCAGAAGGCTTTGGAGATGAGCTCTCACAGACCCTCCAAAGTCCTCATCTACAACAGACCCAACATGGTAAGAACTGGAGCTCCACAGCATACATCTGGTAAAGTGACGGACCGTAAATGTGTCTAAAACAGTACATCTTTTGCTTTTACTCATCTTTCATCTGATTTTGCTTTTGCAAAGCATTTCAATGATAAATAGTATTGCAGATCTATAAGTATAAACAAATGTATAGTGGGTGTACTATATGTATTTACATGTCAGAAATGGAGGTTAGCATCAGTCACATGCAGTCTGGCACAGATTCAGTTTGGAAGCAGGCTGAGTTTTGGGAATAATTTATCTTCATTGCACACAATTGAGCAATAATATGATGTAAAGTAGTTGGAGGAATTGCATTTTTTGCAAAAAATTCCATGTGAATATGAAGTGAGCATTACCTTCCTGAAATTTGTTGAAGAAAAGCTTAAATTAATTAGTTGAAACCATCAGGATAGAAGCTAAAAATAATCAAGACAAAAAAAAAAAGTTAAGACTAGTTACAGAGTAGCTAAAAACTTGGGCTAGCAATTAAGTAGCTTAAAGCTAACACTAGCAAGAGTAGCTGTAAATAGCAAAACAATGGCTAGAAGTTAAGACCAGCCAAACAGTGGCTAAAAGCAAAATTAACTGGAGATGTCAGTTTTTCAAAGGTTTAAGTTTGTCTCTTTATTTCAATGAGGAAATTTAAAAAAAAACAACGGCAATAAAAATAAATCACTGTACAGAAACATAGCAATAATTAAAAAAAAACAACAAAAAAACGTTTTGAGTGGTTTAAAAAGCTGAATGTAAGCTGAAGGGTGGCATTGTGGCTCAGTTGGTAGAGATGTTGCTCAGCGAGAAGGTTGTCAGTTCAAACCCTGGCTGGGGACCTTTCTGGGTGGAGTTTGCATGTTCTCTCTGTACATGTGTGGGTTTTCTCCGGGTACTCCAGTTTCCTCTCACAGACCAAAAACATGCATGTTGGGCTGATTGGTAAATTGTTCCTAGGTGTGAATGAGAGTGAATCATTATCTTGTTTGTCTCCATGTGTCCCTGTGATGGACTGGAGACCTGTCCAGGGTGCCCCCCGCCTCTCGCACAGTGACTGCTGGATATGGGCACCAGTGACCCCCATGACCAAAATGGAAGAGGCGGGTAAAGATAACGGATGGATGATTGGATGGAAGGATAGATAAGCTGAATTAGTTGAGCCAAAATACATAGACAAATTATATTTTTCTTCTGTGTGAGTTCTATGGTAGAAAACAAAACATTTTGATAACTTTTTATAACCTGAGTCAGCTGAAATCATTATTTTTGTACTCTACAGCAGCAACAGTTTGTAACATTAGTTTAAACAGATTTTTCCATGTTTTTATGCGTCAGGAGACTGCGTCAGTGAGCCCAGACCTGAATCTGGACTGGGACGAGGAGATGGCCACTGCTCGACCACATGACTGTGTTCCTTTGCCCTCCAGCCATCCTCTGTACGTTCTCTACACATCTGGGACCACCGGGACACCAAAGGTTGCTCATTATTGTTCAGATGTAGAAGTATGTCAGCACAAGTTCACAAATTTACTCTGGGCTGAGTTTATCTATGCATGACTCTGAAGATTTTTGACTCTACAAACAGATTTTATTTATGGTATTTTTCGCTGTATAAGTCGCACCTTTTTGCATAAATTTGCAAGTCCTGTGACAAAGTGACATATTTGTTTTGTTTCTTCCCATATTTATAGCCAATTTTTGGCTGAGATCTGACGATTTCATTCATTTTGACATGGAAAATATTGAACACTACCATTTTCAGCCGCTAGAGGGCTCTTGACTAATTTAGCAAGCCAAGTGTCTCATTAATAGGTAAAAGTGGCAATTAATGAGACACTTGGCTTGCCATACGAAGCCACCTTCGTCTCGCTCCGGAACGCCTGGAGCAAACGTCCAATCAGCTGCATTTCGCCGCGCTGCCCAGGCGAAATGCAGCTGATTGGCCCATTAAAGTGCATTTATTAAGGATAAGTTCAACTGAGGCACACCTTTACTATAATTTTGAGCAAATAAACAATTGTTTTTAAGTGCTAATCTTGTTAAATTCTTTTTAAAGTCCTCCCATGCACTCTCCCATGGCGGCCATTTGGCAGCCAGTCAATTTTTGGCACACCGGCCCACATTTCCAGGTTGTCAGCGGTGACGCATAATAGATGCGATTTATACTGCGAAGCGACTTATTTATGTATTTTTCCACTTTATTAGACATTTTTGGACTGATGCGACTTGCAAGGTGGTGCGATGTGTTCGGCGGCAAGTACGGTAATAAGAACAGGACAGAAAGGAAACCAAATATTTCCAGTGCAGCGGAAGCTTTTGCTGCATCCTTCAAAGGAAGAATAGTCTTGTCAGCATGTAGCTTAACTCCATCTTCCTTAAAAAAGGAGATATTCTCACTTTTGTGGCACATTAGGCGCTCACACTTATTGTTTTCTGCACACTATACGCTATCTGAAGACTTGTTGACACGAAAGCTGCAGGAACCACTGCTTCGCTCAAATGGTTAGAAGGCACCAACGAGTAAAAATAGCCAGACGGTGGTGTGCGTGTTAAAAACATTCATTCGACCAAAATACCATTTAATTTGGCGCAGCATGGCTGATCGTCTGTGTTTTAAGTGATTTTAAAGTCCTACTTCTCCAGCTTTGTAAATACTTGTCAGTAGTTTGATGTTTTTCCTCATCCCACCCTCAGGGTGTTGTTCGGGACACCGCAGGCTACGCTGTCATGCTGAAATGGACCATGTCGAACATTTATGGCCTCAGTCCTGGAGATGTAAGAAAATATTATTTTTTACTGCTGTTAAGAATGAGGTTATAATCAGCAAAGAGGTGGATTAGCGTGGAAATACATGTTTATCGAAAGAAAATTCAGCTACACTTTTAAACATTTGAGATTTGATTTCTATTCATACAGCTTTTAAACTTTGCATATTTTATATAATTGCATTCTTATCCAATTTAAGAACAGTGTTACATGCATTGTTGGTTTGAGGCAGGTTTGGTGGGCAGCGTCAGATCTGGGCTGGGTGGTCGGACATTCCTACATCTGCTACGGGCCTTTGCTCCATGGCAACAGCACAATTCTTTATGAGGTATGTCCCCGAGACACACGAAAACCATGGTTGAAGTAATAATCTGTGCAAAATTGTAATGCTTTATTGTGTTTGCGTTTTGGATTTCTCTGCAAATGAAATGCACGTTTGTCTGACGGACGTTTTTGCGCTGAACGATTTGACTCTGGCTGCTGCAATCTGTGGTCATCAGCTCAAACGGCTCGCCCTGTTTCTCGCTGCTTCTTTTCTCCATTTCAGTAAATGTGCCACCTGCATTTGAATCTTGGCCTTTAAGATGAAATGTTTTTCAAATACATATCTTCTATTCAATTGTTCAGGCTTTCAAACTACTACTGGACATTTGTTTCTGTCGTTCTCCGTCTTTGTTCTTTAAGAGTTCACTACTGATTGATCAGTGGAGCACACGTAATTACCGTAATTTCCAGACTATTGAGCGCACCTGAATATAAGCCGCACCCACTAAATTTAAATAAAAAAATTTTTTTGTACGTTTATAGCAGGGGTCTGCAACCTTTCCGATCAAAAGAGCCATTTTTATGTCTTCATTCACTAAATTAAATGTGTCCAGAGCCGCAACAACCTGCTACAACTGTGGTTATCAACTGGTGGCCCATGGGCCACTTTAAGTTTGTTGGAGGAGACTTTTGTGGCCAGTAGAGGTGACATTTTAAAGCTAAAAACATTAGATTTTTAACATTTATTGGCATTTTTACAATTTAAGACAAATCAAAAGACCAGATTATTGTAAGGGGGGGGGGGGGGGGAGTTTTTTTAAAAATAAAAAAACAACTATGAACTATGCAGACCTATATCATTTTTTTTAACTGTGAAAAAAATAAGTATAGAAATAAAGCAAAAAGTTAGAGTATTTGCAAAGGAAATGACAGGAAAACAGCTAAAACTATTATTGCTTGTATAACAACCAATAAAATTCAGCTTTGTTTGTTTTGGTTGAAGCTTGAAAGAGCTGCTACAGAGAGACCAAAGAGCCGCATGTGGCTCCAGAGCCGCAGGTTGCAGACCCCTGATATATAGGCTGCACTTGTCTATAAGCCATGGGTGTCCACATTATAGCATAAGATACTGACACAAATGTACGAATCACACTTATTTCGAGTGGCTGCAAATATTTCATTGTGCCTCCATGGAGGGGAGGAGAGAACGGGCAGGGGGGACTCCCCAAGTTTCATTGGTCCACTGTGATCTGTTTAAAAATTTCATTGGTCAGTTTTTGTTTAACCTTTATTTATACAGGTAGTCTCATTGAGTCACAAGGACCCACCCCCCCAAGAGAGACATGTATTGGGTGTGACGAGGCTATATGTTTTGGCGGCATGATGCTTGTTGGGTAGTCAAAAAGCCGTCCATAAATTAGCTGCAGCGTTGTACTGTGTACGCTGCGGGGTTCAAAGTTTATGAAAAAAGTATCGGCCTGAAGTCCAGAAATTATGGTAATAGTTTTGAAGGTCAAATCTCAGAGGAATGTTTGTCTGTTCTGTTTGTTGTAGTGTAAATGTGTCTGATTACATTACCACGTTGGTTTTCTCTTACCTGTGGGACAAGCTGCTTTTTCACTACCAATTAGATTTTTTTCCCCTCTTTCTTACAATAAGATCATATTTTTATTCACTGTAGTATAGAAACAGATTATTCTGAAATTGCAAAATTGACAAAGTTTATGATTGCTGGTCTATTTGTCTTAAATATGTTGGTTCTCACTGTGAAATCTGTCTTTTTGAGGTTAAATACTGTAATCATACTTTGCCTGTGGCTAATCTTGTTTGTCTTTAAACACAGAGTTGTCTGTGTGTTGCATGCGCGTTGCAAAATATAACCAATGAATGTTCTTTGGTCATTTTTAGCCTTGATGTACACCTGGAAAGGATTCACTTTAAGGAGTGAAACCATTTCAAGATGGCTGCCACAGCCTAGGGAGCTTAAAAACACAAAAATAACTATAACTCAGCTTTACAGATATTGTGCTAAATATGTGGTAAATCATGTCAATCACTCATCATTATTCATTATCATTATGATCATTATTTCCAACATATTTTAAGCGCAACATGTTTGCTTCAAACTTTGACAATAACTGTTGAAGTCAACCCTGTTTGTCTTTTAGCAAACTATCACAACCATTTAATGGATTTTAAGGAACACTGGGTGTACATCTACAACTGATTAAATTTTAAACTAAACCAAAAGTGTAACTTAACATGAGATGGTCTTTAGTTTAAAACATTTCTTGCTAGGCATTTAAATTCTAATTCCTGGATTTCATGTTTATCTGGATGAAACCTCCTGTGTGCGTCCTCATTGCTGACAGCTGTTCTGTTTCCTCATGTCATGTAGTTTGTTGTTTTTAACGATGCAGTAATTGTTAACATCAGTACATGAACTCGGTTGCAGAGCGTAACCTGATCTGTTGTCGCTGTGCCAAATGATCGCAGGGAAAGCCTGTAGGGACTCCAGACCCGGGGGCATTCTTCCGCGTCCTGTCCGAACATGGAGCCACCTCCATGTTCACAGCACCCACTGCCATCCGGGCCATTCGGCAGCAGGACCCACACGCTGCAGTCGGCAAAAAATACTCTCTGTCCAGGTAGAAATTAAACCTTTTTTTTTTTCCTGTGGAAGTTTCTTTTAAATGATAAGTTCATGAGGTTCATGCTTAGGTCTTGAGTGTGTGCATGTGTCTGCTGGTAAAATATCTCATGAGCCACTGGATGTATTTGAATAAAACTCTCATAAAGTAATCATTAGATGCACATCTATAACTGATCAACTCTTTGAGTCAACCTGATTTAAAATGGCTACCACAGCTGATCAACTTTGGCAAACATAAATAGGTATACAACATACATACATACATACAAACATAAATAGGTATACAACATACATACATACAAACATAAATAGGTATACAACATACATACATACAAACATAAATAGGCATACAACATACATACATACAAACATAAATAGGCATACAACATACATACATACAAACATAAATAGGCATACAACATACATACATACAAACATAAATAGGTATACAACATACATACATACAAACATAAATAGGTATACAACATACATACATACATACATACAAACGTAAATAGGTATACATACATACATACATACATACATACATACATACATACATACATACATACATACATACATACATACATAGATACATACATAGATACAAACATTAATAGGTATACATACATACATGCATGCATGCATGCATGCATACATACATACATATAAACATGAATGGGTATACATACATCCAAACAATAATAGGTATACATGCGTACAAGATACATACTTACAAACATTAATAGGTATACATACATACAACATGCATGCATACATACATACATACAAACATAAATACTGTGGGTATGCATACATACAACATGCATACATGCATATAAACATAAATGGATATACATCCATCCAAACATTAATAGGTATACATACATACAAACATTAATAGGTATACATCCATCCAAACATTAATGGGTATACATACATACAAACATTAATAGGTATACATACATACAACATGCATACATACATACAAATGTAAAGGTATACATACATACAACATACATACATACAAACGTAAATGGGTATACATACATACATACATACAAGGTACATAAATACAAACAATAGGTATACATACATAAAACATATATACAAACATAATGGGTATACATACATGCAAGATACATACATGCAAACATAAATAGGTATACATACATACAACATACATACATACAACCATAAATAGGTATACATACGTACAACATACAAACAAATAGGTGGGACTCCTTGGATTGATGAAGCCCTTTGGATGGGGGCGAAATGTATCTCAAAATTAAAAACAAACAAAAAAAAAATAACTGTCCAAATGGCTTGACTGACTATTGTTGGATTTTTTACCTGGATTATTGAGCATGGACTTTGATAAATAGGTATACCAATGTTCATGGTCAATAATCCATGTACAAATCTAACAATGTTTAGTCAGGTCATCTGGACAGTTTATTTTTCTTTTCTTTTTTTTTTGCTGAGACATTTCGTCTTTCATCTAAAGGACTTATTCAGTCCTGAAGAAGTCCTTTGGATGAAGGATGAAATGTCTCAGCCAAAAAAAGAAAATGTCCAGATGACCTGACTGAACATTGTTAGATAAATAGGTATAAATCAGCCAGATTGACCGCCAGAGATAAAATTTGGTGTAGTTGTAGCTGATTGCCATCCACATCACATACTTTTAGCAACGAAAGATAAAGCAGTATCTTAAAAAAAACCCAAAAAAACCCCACCCAACTTTGGCACTACTTGTTGTTGTCAGCACCGTCTATTAGCAAAATAACTCATGAACTGCTGGATTAATTCCAATCAAATGCTCAAAAATGAATCCTTGGATGTATGTCTACATTTCATTAACTTTGGGAGTCAACTTGTATCACGATGGCTGCCACAACACAAAAACAGTTATAACATAGTCATGTCTACAGATGTTGATTTTAACTTTGGTATGGTAGTAGCTGATGGTCATCCCTGACACACAATCTAGTGCTAGCAGATTGTGCAGTTTCTTTACAGGAAATGTTGACATGCAACATTTTTCATACCAAGTCTCCCACTGATTGGGAAGCTGCATGTTTGGCATACTTGTCTGTCTGTAAAATTAAACTATGCCCAAATAATAATATAATCTGTTTTTACTTTTAAAGTTGTGGTGATAATATCTAGAATGTAACCGCTGGTTTCTCGTAGGGCTTCAAGAATTTTATTAAAACATGTCACGGCTGATGGTTGTCTGCTCAGGCTGTTCAGCTCCTTGGGATTAGTCTTTTGCCATCTGTTGATGCACATCCCTTCCTCACCCTCATCACTCAGTCTCTTGACCTGCTTGTGTGTTTAATTATGAAGGGTAGTGAACAGCAACAGCCTTTCCAGAGAGCAACAGATGCTGTTTCTACACCAAGTCTAGTCTTGGTCATCATTAAAATCTGAACGTCTTCATTTAAATTTAGTCTACATTTAACTCTGGGCGTTTATAGAACACACAAACAAAAACAAATATGTAAGTCATACAACGCAAGTCTGTAAATCATGCAAATATGTATAGGAGCGTGCAAGATGCAAAATCTTATTTTTTCTGTTTTCTAATTGGCAATGTTAAGGTTAAAATATAAATGTGTAAAAAACACACTTTATTCAGTTGAAAGTTTGAGAATGGAGGGACATAGATAGCGTGAAGAATATGAAACGAGACGTATTTTCATGTAATTGGTCATGAAGACGTCAAACTGTACAGGCTGTGTGCTAACAAGTTACCTCCAACATGTGGTAAAGGACAGTTGAACTTCTAATAAACTGTTCAGCATACATTTCCCATTCATTTTGACCATGATGCCTTTGTGGTCTCGATAGAAGGTGGGAGAGCAGGCGCTCTCCGGGATTGATCACAATCCTTGTTCATTGAGGCTGAATAGCAAGTTTAGGATGCTGCATCCATTCTGGCTTGGAGACAGAAGTTTAAACAAGATATTTGTTTCATTAAATGTCCATCCAACAACGGACATGCCTCGACATCAGGGCTACTTAACTGGCGGCCCACGAGCCACTTCTGGCTCATGGGTGACTTAAGTCCAGCCAGCGGATGAGTTCAGTGATTAAAAAAAAAAAAAAAATACATAAGAAAAAAATCAATGAGAGAGACCTTCAAAAATCATTTCAATTTGCAACATTTCCACAAGCTTACAGAAGTACCTACGCTTTAAGATGTATCTTCTCCCCACTGAAAGCATTGTCTCACGTGACACAATGCAAGGCCAGGCATCATTCTGTGACTCATTCTTTTTCAGTGGGGATCCTTACTACAACCACTACTACACAACTCACTGCTTTCCCCCTTATAAATGCCGGGAACAACCTCTGACTCATTGTGTCAGTTTAGAGATTCAGAGAGATTTATTTGCCATACACACCACACGTGGTACATGAGGTGGAACGAAACTATGTTCACAGGGTCCCAGTTACATCTAACAAAAACACAAATTGTAAAGAAAAACATGAGTAAGGTCCGAGTCATGAACTACGAATATACTACATTCACTTAACTATGAATACACAAGACTAAGAGTATGCTAAGCGCTAATGGTACAAAAACAATGTGCCAAAACAACAGCAGCACGAACATGAGTCTGTGTGAGCAGATGAGGACCAATGAACACAGCAACACAAAATAATCAGCAGCATGAGATCAGCATCATGGATAGTCAGCAGCACACATCAATAACCAAATGGCATTAGTGATTTTTCACAGTGATTTTTTTTCCTGGTTAGAGATGTATGAATAACAGCTTCAGGGTAGAAGCTGTTCCTCAGCCTGGTGGTTCTGCACTTAATGCTCCTCAGCCTTGTGACAGAGGGGAGCGGGGCAAAAAGTTTGTGTGCAAGGTGAGTGGGGTCCTTCATGATGCAGGTGGCCCTCTTCCTGCATCTGGAGGTGTAGATGTCTGTGATTGTGGGGAGACTGACTCCAACAGACTTCTGTGCATCCTTCACCACTCTCTGCAAAGCTTTTCTTTCTGCAGCTGTGCAGCCTCCATGCCACACGTTGATGCTGGAGCACAGGATGCTCTCCACTGCGCACCTGTAGAAGGAGCTGAGGACTGAGCTTCCCAGACCAGCTCGTTTCAGCCGCCTGAGGAAGTAGAGTCTCTGATGATCTTTCTTGATCAGGCTGGTGGTGTTGCTCCAGCTGATGTTGTCATTCAGGTGCAAACCCAAGTACTTGTAGCTTGTGACCACTTCCACGGCAGATCCTCTATGTTCGGGGCGGGAGGGGCAGGTGTGTTTGTTCCTTCTGAAGTTTACAGCTAATAACCAAGATTTCAATATGAACACCAAAGCAAACCTGAACAGGACATAAACAAGAACAGCCCGTATTTAGAAACATCATTAGCAGTCAGAAACATTGCACATAAATTTCCACAAGGCTACCCAGCATGCTTTGCAGCTCTCGCATTCTCTCTGGGATTCTCTAAAAGAGAGAACTTTGTGTTTTGGGGAAAATAAAATAAAGCTAAACATAGAGCTACATCTTGGCTTTAATCTGGGGCTACAAATATCTGTTTGGAGTTAATTATAATAACTAAATTAGCAGAGACACAAGTCTAAAGGCTGAACACTCTCGCAGGGGTGCACTCTTTCTCTCTTCTGCTGTGCGAGGAGTTCTGATAAACTGATTCATATCAGTGTGTGATTGTCAGCGAGTTGGATTAAAGAACAAGAAAGAGATCTATTACTGGGGGAATATTGTGATGATGCACAACAGCTTTGAAGTTGGTTTAAAACAATAGTTAACCATAACAGATTGAGTTAATTCGTTTTAGTAAATTACACAAAGGAGATGTTCAACATGCATTGAGCTCTCTTTCATCCCAGCTGAGTTCTGCTCCGCCTCTTTTGATTCTGCTCACACCTGAGTGGGACGTGGACGCTTCACCTGAGATTTAAAAATTGTTTGAGTAAGAACTGATCTGTGCAGCCGTATGAGAACTG